TGGTGGTCACTTGGAGATGTCTTGACCATCAGACTCTTTGTCCAGGTATCATCTATCTTATGAGTTATTCCTGTTAATCTCTTACTGTGCCTAGTTTATAAATCAAACTTTATCATAGGTATGTGAGTATGTATGTATGTACAGACTATCTATAGACTACCTATACATACATACATACAGGTGTCCACTGGGCATCTTGGAACATGTGCCCCGAGAATAAGGGGGGCACTATGCTCTGAACAAGAGCACCCAGACTGCTCCCACGGCATCATACCCTGCCCGCTCTCGTCCCCTTTCTAGAGATATCTGCTTTCAAGGTCCATCTGACGTCTTAGTAACAGTCCTATCTCCAAATGTAAGGAAATGGTGGTATAAAAGCACAGGGCACATTGACCATCACAGCCCTGCCCTTGGGGGGGGGTGCACACACACTCACACAGACACACACCTCTGCTGGGTTCCGTCTAAAAGTCAACGCAAAGGAGAAACTGTAAAATACCATTCAGCACTCTGTGTCACCCTGATTATACCTGAGACCACCATGTGAAGGAATCTGGCCATTACTCAGAAAGGCTCCCGAGGGGCAAGAAATACTCACCTATGAACCTAACCCCAGGGCACACCTCAGAGAGAAAAACAGGTAGCAGGATTCCCAGGACTCTTCTGGAACCTGCTGCTGAGTCTACACTGAGTCTCTGACAGCAGCTACAAAACCAGCTTCCAACAGCAAGACTCATCTCTGGACCTCAGACAGGGTCAGAGTCCTCTGGTGCCTGCGCCTGCGTGCAGGAGGAGCTTGTCCAAGGACACGCTTTGGAAAAGCAATGAATGAGAAGAAAGCGCCTCTTCCCTCACAGAAGCTGCGTCAAACTGAGCACGACCCAAATCACGCTCCATTTCCTCTTCCGTTCGAGGAAGGAGGGTAGGCATGGAAACACACTCAGATCCTTTCTAATTCTGCAGGTGCAGTTCTACGGTTTAGGGACACAGCCCCTTTTCTCAACTCTTTTGCCAGATTCAACTATCAACACTAAGCACAAGTGATATTTGAAAACCACAGGTGTCTCACTGGAAAAATAATTTGACAAAGTCACAAAATATGTTCCCAACTCTCCCACTTCCGGGCATCTGTCCCCAGGAAGCAGACCCGCTGGTGGTGTCACCAGGTGTCCCCTCAGTGGCTGCACTGGCTCCGGCGGCACTGTCCCTCTGCTGGTCAGCTTCTGCTGAGGAGGAAGGCAGCTGGGCCCGTCCCCTCCTGCAGACTGCAGAGAAATGCATGTCACGGAAACATCTCACGTAGCTACACAGAAATCCCTCTCGGACTAGGTTTTTAATAAAAACGTTTCAAGGCAATTGATGCCGCCTTGTCTCTCATCCTTGTTACACTTTGCCAAGGCCCCCGACAGACTTCTCTACACTTCTCGCCTCCCGCCCTGACCAGGCCAAACCTCCCAAGCCTCGGACAGTGTGCTGCACCCCAGCCCTGCCCTGCACTTCCATCCACCACACTCCGCCAGATGTGCATGAATCTGATCAATCCATCCACACCCTGCCCTCCCCACTCAGTGCTCTCAGGAGCTCCTCCAACAGCTCTGGGCGTCTGCCAAGGACACCACCCTAGGGTGGGGGACGCTCACTCCCCAGGTGGGTGACGCTCACTTGCTCACTTCCCAGGGAGCTGCGAAAGAGGGTGTTTTTCTACTCCCTGCCACACTAAGCCACTATTTTCCTGCTACTATTTCAAAAGCTCCTCTCTAACCCCGCTCCTTTCAATGTCCACTTTGCTTCGTTAGTCTTAGTGAATAACCCTCCCCCTAAACGACAGGAAAAACAAAAAAACGGTTATTGGACAATCCCGATTCCGGCTCCAAGCTACAGAAAAGCACCAGCATTTGTACCTTCCTTTCCTGTCTCGCCGGAGGTGCTGAGTTTCCTCCTGCCAAACCACCGTTTCCTCCCTCCTGGCCTGCAGCATCCCTCCTCCACCTCTCCAGGGACTGAGTGTCATCTCCGCTTTCCGGCATCTACATATCCCTGTTCTGGATCTTTCCCACAGCAAATAAAATTCTGTCCATGTACATAACACGTGTGTATACAGAGTAATATATACGCAGGTGTGTGTATACACAGACGTACGTCAATATGTAAAACTCAGCAGCGGATCCATGATTATCCTCCAGTTTCTCAGTAATGGGCATTCTATCTGCCTCTTCGTGGCCAAGATTCTCCAAACATTAGGTGGTGTCCGATTTCCGACATTGTGCTCAACTCTCGACGCAGTCCTCTCTGGCTCCACGGACTGAACCTGCTCTGTGCTGACCAAGGCAGCTGCGGCCAAGCCACAGGAGGACTGCCCTAGTCGACCTGGACCGCGCCAGCAGCTGAGCACGCTGGTGACGGCCCTTCTGTTACGAAGCTCTCCTCCCGGTTTCTCTGTCAACCTCTAGTTCGTCAATTTGCTTCTGCCTTTTGCTCACCCCACCTCACTCGCTCCTTCCGCCATTTATGCCTGAAATACAGGTGCCCCGCAGGGCTCCACTCCTGGCCTCGAGCTCTTTCCACTCACATCCAAGAGTTTCACCCACACTGGACTTGCTGCCAGCGACCCATGAGGCTGCCCTTGACGTCCATCCCCAGACTAGGAGCCTAATTGATCCATTGACTTGGTTGTCCTACAGCTACTTTGACCATCAGTATGTCCCACACTGACCTCCTCATTTCCCCTTTCAGCTTGTTTATGCTCCTGTAATACTGAAGAGCCGATGTCTCATGATCCATCGAGTTTCCTCGTCCAGAAACACAAGAGACCTGCAGCTACCCCACGACTCCCAGCCCGACTCCCATCTGCCCTTGGTGCGTAAACACACACACTCACACAGACACATAACTCTGCTGGGTTCCACCCCAAAATTAATACAAATGATTCCCCAAATCCTATGGATTCTCTAACTCTTTTTATTTTTTTTTTTGCAGTTTTTGGCCAGAGCTGGGTTTGAACCTGCCACCTCCTGCGTATGTGGCCGGCACCCTACTCGTTTGAGCCACAGGCACCGCCTGGATTCTCTAACTCTTAAATCTATCTTCTTAATTTGTCCACAGTGCATTCACTTGAGTTGTTAAGTTTTTAATTAAGCTATTTCCTAAGCAAATATTGTATGTAAATCACTTTGTTCACAACTGCAAGAATACAAAATTTTATCTGCAGCATAATTTTAAGCATATGAAATTCTCATAGTAATTGTCAAATATAGTAGATTTTATTGAGAATATTTTTCTGCATATTCTAGCCAAATAACCCAATCTTTAGAAGCAAAAGCCTCCCCTTATTTTATTTATTTATTTATTTTTTTAAGAGACAGAGTCTTAACTTTATCGCCCTCAGTAGAGTGCATGGCGTCACAGCTCACAGCAACCTCCAACTCTTGGGCTTAGGCAATTAATTCTCTTGCCTGAGCCTCCCAAGTAGCTGGGACTACAGGCGCCTGCCAGAATGCCTGGCTATTTTTTTTGTTGCAGTTTGGCCAGGGCTGGGTTTGATCCTGCCACCCTCGGTATATGGGGCCAGCACCCTACCCACTGAGCCACAAGCACTGCCCTATTTATTTATTTATTTATTTATTTTTGAAACAGAGCCTCAAGCTGTCACCCTGGGTAGAATGCCGTGGCACCACAGCTCACAGCAACCTCCAACTCCTGGGCTCAATCAATTCTCCTGCCTCTGCCTCTCAAGTAGCTGGGACTACAGGTGCCCACCCCAATGCCCAGCTATTTTTTGACTGCAGCTGTCATTGTTGTTTGGCAGGCTTGGGCTGGATTTGAACCTGCCAGTTCAGGTGTATGTGGCTGGCGCCTCAGCTGATTGAGCCACAGGTGCCGAGCCTCCTAAACTATTTTATAATGTGAACACAAAGACAACAGGCGTCCTACCATGCACTGGTGGCGTATCTGGCAGACAACACTCCTGTGTGTGCTGAGCCCTTCAGAGCAAGCCGCGTCCTGGGCAGTGGATACAGAGGCAGGTCTTGTTCCCGGCACTGAGTCACAGCAGGAAGGTCAACAAGCAGGCTCGGCCCCTGGACCTCACTGCGAATCATACCTGCAGAGCAAAGGCAGAGACAGTGAACACAGGAGGCTCCCACCCACCCTTCAGTCATTGAAGGGACAGTTATGTATCCACTGTGGGTGGGTGCTCTTCCAGGTGGACAACTGGCCTATCAAAGTAAACGGCTAAAGAGTTAGTGCGTCAGACGATGACCGATACCACGGTAACAAAGTGAAGGGGGAGGGGCTGCTCAGCAGAAGAAACTTACAACTTGAAGTACAGCCCCACTAAACAATGACACTGTAGCAATAGTAATATTACTAAAAATCTCATCCTAACAGATTTTCCCTTATCAAGCTGGGATGTCCCAATTACAGAAACTCTGACATATCACTGATTTAAAAAAATAATTCTGGCCAGGTGCGGTGGCTCACGCCTGTAATCCTAGCACTCTGGGAGGCCAAGGTGGGTACTGTTTGAGCTCAGAAGTTTGACAGCAGCCTGTGCAAGAGTGAGACCTCATCTCTACAGGCCTGTAGTCCCAGCTCCTCAGTAAGGCTGGGTCAAGATCACTCGGGGTCAAGAAGATCTCTTGAGCCTAAGAGTCTGAGGTGCTGTGAGCTCTAATGCCTCAGCACTTCACCCAGGGAAAGAGAGTGTTTCTAAATAAATAAATAAATGAATATATTCTATAAGGCAGTGGTTCTCAACCTTCCTAATGCCGTGAACCTTTAATACAGTCCAAAGGGGTCACGATTGACAGGTTGAGAACCGCTGCTATAAGGTAACAAACAACCAAATAATGTTTTTTGTTTGTTTGTTTGTTTTTGAGACAAGAGCCTCAAGCTGTCGCCCTGGGTAGAGGGCCATGGCATCACATCTCACAGCAACCTCCAACTCCTGGGCTCAAGTGATTCTCTTGCCTCCGCTTCACTCCTCAGAGGCCCCCCACCCCAAGTGCGCTGCAGCGCCCAGGTCCCCACAAAGCCAATCTTGGCCGCAGAGGCCTCCACAGTGGTCAGGCGGCAGCCATGGGGCCTGCAGGGCAGGAAGCCCAGGGCATAGCTCCTGGACACAGTGGTGACGGTCAGCTGGGGTGCCATGAGAGGAGCTTAGGTGTGTGCAAAAATCTTTAAAGATCATTAATTACATTATTTTCAAAGAAGTTGTTCAAAGCACCGGCCATGCGAGGCGGCTCCTGCCTATGATCCCAGCAGTCTAGGAGGCTGAGAAGCGTGGATCGTTTGAGTTCACGGGTTCGAGACCAGCCTGAACCAGAGGGAGACCTGTCTCTAAAAACAGCCAGGAATAACTAGGCGTTGTGGTGGACGCCTGTGGTCCCAGCTACTCGGGAGGCTGAGCCAAGAGTCTGAGGCTGCTGTGAGCTGTGACGCCACAGCACTCTACTGAGGGTGACATACTGAGACTCTATGTAAGTGTGCCCCAGAAGTTTAAGTATAGGTTCAAGTGTGCAGTGAGATAAAAAGGGGTGAAAAACACTGGCATACACAGCAGGAACGGGGGAAATTTTTAACGGGTTAAGCCCGGGGAGGTGCGAGAACAGACTGACAAGGAAAGGTGAGAAGCGGCAAGTGGGGAGGAGCCAGGTCCCCGCAGGGCTGGCAGGTGAACAAACCAGAGTGGCCCCCGCGAGCAGGGCGCCCAGCAGACACTCCTGCACCCGCCATAGTGGCAGCAGCACAGGCAGATTCCAGCCTGCAGATGGTGTGGACAGAGCAGGGCACACTCACAGCGGCCATGGAGGCCACCACAGGAAGGGCAGTCAGAGGCTGGGAGCAGAACCACTTTCTGTCTGAAACGTGCCGACATCTAATAGTACATGCCTTGCTCATTTGGAATTTATCTTGTATGCCATACATTATTAACCGTGCTAACTACAGGTTTAGTTCCTAGCACAAGAGAAGTATAAACTCCTTCAAGACACACCCTGTAAT